GCTTTCTAACGAATAACGAAACTATTTCAATAGCCTACTTATATAATATGTATTTCACCAATAAAACCTCCGGGCATGTTAATTATATTCCGATATCCTTATATTTCTGACAAACAGATCACATTAATTGACTTTTTGTATCGTTTGTTTGAGAGTTTTAATCGCTGTTTAGATTCAGTCGTTGTTAGCGAACAGAGAAACTGCGCTGCTAAATTAGGGCAATTAAAGTCATTTGAAAACCGATGAAATGTCATTTAATTAGACTTTTAATTCACACTTTTTGGTTCCTTGGCCTTGTAGTTTTCTGTTTCTTGTTTTCCTTCTCTTCCTGTTCACCACACAGCCGCGCTGTTTGCACAAAGGATGCTCGAGTCTTCTGTGTTCAACAACATGACAACAGAAATCATCAGGAGAGCAACAACAAGCACCAATCCTGATCAAACTCAATAATTTAATTCAAAAAGTGCATAAATGCATGCATGTTTCCCCTATATAATATATAATTCCATAATGTTCATTCAAGGCTAAACAATATGGTTATTTATTAATGTTTTGGTTTTTTTTGCATGATCCAAGCCAGATGCATTCTTCTCTAAATTATTCTGCTGACTTCTTGAATTTGAAATGAGTTTTGTGCCGGAGTTCTGCTCTGCTTCAAATCAAACACACACACGCGCGCGCGCACGCGCACACACACACATACACACACACACACACACACACACACACACACACACACACACACACACACACACACACACACACTCACACACAGGGTGGGACGAGACGGTGTATTTTATTCATTCTGAATTGGGGTTTTCTTGGTCACAGCATCCTATGAGGCATTGCACATTAATGAAAAATATAATACAAATAAATATAAACATTACATATAAACATATCAACGGTACAGTTTAATATAAATTATAAATATCAACTGATTAATTATCAACAGCAACAGTAGAAAGATGTATAGGCCTATAGTAAAAAAAGAAAGAAATGCACAATATACACATTCCCGAATACTAATATAGACTTATTTACTAATTCATAATAATAAAACATATGATATCCTGTATGTTTAACATTAGCAGACTCTCGTCCATTATTAACGGCAGACTGGATCTGTTTTCCATCCGGGTTCTTTCACGGATCAATATTTCATTCTTCTTTTCGTCACGCCTGTTTGGGCTCGTTCCTAGATCCCACTTCCCCAGGAAACGGAGGATATATAAAGGGAAAGAGAGAGAGTGTGTGTGTGTGTGTGTGTGTGTGTGTGTGTGTGTGTCCGCCGGGCTTAAATAATTCAGCTCTGCAGCCCCATCGCGATGAGACGACATGCAGTTAGTTAACATTCCTTTGAATAAATACTCCGAAAGGATGTTCACACACACTTTCTGTGCAGGAAAAAAACTAATTTAAAATGACAATATGAGGCTCCATTTGATCTCTCCTCCTGAAATGAAAAAAACGTTTTAAATATTGAAAAAACAAAGAAAAAAAGGACGATTTTGAGTGTCTGATTTCTGGTTATAATGCACGTTAACTGTAGTGATTAAATATTGAATCCGAAATACATGTTTCTTCAATACGTAGAAATGATGACAAATTAACCACTTGCATGATACTATACATTTATATCAACAAGCAAACGAAGTATTAATGCAAATCCACCTCCACGTTTTAAACAGTCCATTTAATTTAAACACATCGCCTAAATAAACCGCACATGCCACAGGTCACGTGATGTGGGTGCAGCTTAATATCGCCCTATCCAAAAAACCGCAGCCACTCCGGGTTTAACGGCCTGGTGAGAAATAAAGCTTTAAATGGTCTTATTCTCCCCCTAACGAGCCCTTTACGATGACATTAAAATAGCTGCCGTCAACAACCAACACACAAACACCAACGCAACTTCGATTTCAAAACATGCTGTAAAGTCTAATTGTTTCCACACAGACTGCAGGGGCAGGCTGTAGTGCTATGTTCTAGCGCACCTATGACATGCATGCACGGTTGTAGCACGACCACCAAAACAGAAACATGGACATAGGCCACCATATAAAAGTGTGCAGATGTATTTAGTATCCTATCATGTGCACATGATTTAAGTGGGTGATGGACCTAACCTCCTCTGGGGGGGGGGGGGGGGTCCGGGGGCTTGCTCCCCCGGGAAGATATATATATATATTTTAAATATTGAAGTTAAAAGCATCAATCTGGTGCACTTTGAGAGCAACATGAGGAGACCTGTGGATACATCTCTCAGCACCCATATGAAACAGAACTGTGAACAGATTGACTTTGTCTTTATTTTACAAATCACTCCCCTTTCAAACTGTATTCTTGTTTTACTGTCCGATAGTATTTTATACCCGGCTCGGTTCGCTGACGGCTGGCACCATTTTTAAACGGCATCACTGAAGTTGCGCTGACAGGCGACAGAGCGACACCGTTTCCCCGCAGCGAGGCTCCCCCCGTTGACAGTTCACTAGCAAAACAAAAAAATGGCAAAGTGGCTTGCCTGCCCTACGTTGTGGGGGCACAGTGACTCGTTTGGGGGGGGGGGGGGGGGGCATGGCCCGCGAATGAAGCCGACCCTAGTAGTTGCATATTTCACAGATTTGGTAGACTACACTCTGGATGATGTAGCGCATGAGATGTGATGCTTTAAATGTTGTGGCAGTAGCTCAGACCGTATAACTTTGCTTGGTAACAGGATTGGTCACTGGTTCGAGTCCTTCTCGCTGGTGCCCTCTCCAGCACACTTGGACGCATTTTACGCACAGTCAAAGTGCTGGAAATTCTGCAAACCAACAAACAAAGTGCGAGTTCACTTTCTGCAAGGCACTGCACCACCAACTAAATATCAATAATAACAGAATCATGGCACCCTTCTTCTCATAGTGATGCGTGTTTTGGTGCATTTCCGGCCTATATTTCAATAGGAGCATGTGTGTATTCTAATAGAGTGAAACTCCCCTGTTCTAATTTGGAATGTGATGCAGAGTCACACTCTATCTAAATATGGTTTTAATTAAGAATACACAGGTTTTTGTTTTGGTGAATTTACTCAATTTCCCTTTATAGAGCTTTGATCAATAGCTACCTGCTATTGATCAAGTGGACACATCTTCCAGAATCTTCTATTGAATCAGGCCCGTGCAGCTTAGAGTTTCAGCTCGGGTCTTTTTCCTGTAAAGCAATGAGCACAAATGACGACGCACACACGCGGATCTGCTCTCGGACATGTTACCTTCCCCTTCACGTTTTGACCAAGGCCCGTGAGCACGAATCCAGTAACACCCCCCTTCCTCTTCCTCTTCTTCTCGCTGGTGCCCCTCCACTGTCGCAGCCTGACCCCCTGCAGCAGAGTGAGGCTCGGACACCTTTTACGCACTGCAGGCACAGTCTCGCTGCTGCAGATGTTTCAAACCTGTGGCTCCGTTTCGGTTGCTCAACTCGGTTACGCATGCTCTCGTTAAAATGTGCATGAAAGCCTCCCCCTGTTTACCGCGGGATTATAGACACAGTGTGGGATGAGTCAGGCTGGGAGAATCACAAACAGGAGTGGAGCTGCAGAAAAGTAAAAAACAAAATGTGTGTTAACGTTAATAATGTATGGTCTTATTTCGGCTCGAAATAGTTCACGGTTCTAACCACTGGCATTGCTTCAGGGTTTTATAAGCGCGTCAAAAGTTAAGCAAATCACGAATTTTGAGGGAAAAAACAGGAACTTTCTACTTTTCCAGAGTTTCATTATAAAACATATCCATTTATTTTTGTAAAGTATTAACGCGCATTCAGAAAACATCCTAAATGTACGTTTTTAGTGTAACCTGACTCCCAACGGCTTCCTTATTTATCAGACACTCTGGCATCAGGTCAAAGGGTTCACTGTTCAGTCACACATGGAAGTTAAACCCGTCACAAAAGTATCCATAAAAGCACTGATGGATCATCTTTAATGCTGCTGTGTCTCTATGGAGACAGCTCCTGTTTGTTTCCAAATGTGATCAGCAGGCATCTTTGCATGTACTATTACATGTGTACGTGTGTTGTGCTTAATGACCTGGTCAGATGCGCAGGACATAAAGCAAGGAGTGTATAATGACCGTCAGTGTGTGTTATAAAATATTCCTAAAAGCACTAATTTCTCATTTTTGATTCTGCTAATCTGAAGAATGAGCTCTCTCTCCAGTTGTGTTAGATTATCCAAATATGCACAGTTGACGCATGAGCATTTTCTCTGCAGTGTTTCAGTATTAAATCTTTAATTGGCATGTTCAGTAAACCCCAACATCTGTACCTTGCTTTAAATTGTGTTTTTTGTTTAGCCTTTGCTCGCATTTGATGGCACATATTTGGAGGGATGTGACGTTTACGCACTGCGCGCAGGTTTATCATTAACAGAGACACTGCTGTTGTGTTGAGGGCATCTAATAAGCAGAAGGCACTTATTATAGGCTACTTATTAACATGTATGGACTTCACCTGAGGGATTATCTGCGGGATGATACTGACATGTGTGAAAGTATTAGGCGGGAGCTGATAAGTTAGTGCTGCGGGAAGCAGAAAGTATTAGAGGGAAACACAGAGCTCTATCTCTCCTCTGGCTAATGTCAAGGTCTCTCTGGTAGCCAGCTGCAAGTTATGGCCTGTGAAGAAGATTTAAGCAGATATGATTAAGGAATAATTGCCCAACTGTTTATGGTAACATGGAGACACCAAATAAAGTAAAATCTGAAGGATATTAAAGTTAAGAATCCACGCGTAATGCAGAATGACATCTGGTTCAAAATGGCCTAAAACAGCTAATTTATGAGAAGAAAGTCACTTGTGTATCATGTATCATGTCTCATAAGTGAGATCCGGCCCACAGCATGCTTTCATGGGTAGGTTTTTGACGCCTCCTCCTCTCCCTCTCTCTCCCTCCCTCCCTCCCTCTCTTTGTCTCTCCTCCCTTCTCTCCTCCCTCTATCAGTCAGTGCGCCCGTTGGCACAGGAAAGATTGAAAGTGACTCTGATTAGAAACCGGTCCTTTTAGCACCGATCAATCCGGCTCTTACTAAAACTCTCACGTCGGTGTTTGTTTCTCCGTGTTTCGTCTTAAAGCTTTCGGGTTGTTTCCCCGGGTACGTCGCGCTCTTTTACCTCCGAGGATGAAGCCATGAGTTCAGAGGAAGGAAAACAAAAACGCGTTTTGACTTAAAGAGGAAAAAGTGAAGCGTTAATATCAAGTTTTTTTCGACCTCCAGAGCTCACACGGTCTCTTTGCCTCTGCTTCCCCGACAGAAGAGCATCTTCCCTCGGCTGCTTTACGCGCAATCGCTCCCCCTTCCTCTCCCTTTCCACCACACCGTCTCCAACTTGTTCTTCCTCCTCCTTCTTCTTTGTGGATCTTCGGTTCGGTCCCAGAAGAGTCCAGAGTCAGAACATTTGGCAGAGGGTCGTGTGAGAAGAAGTAGTGCGTCAGGAGCCGAAGCACAGCCCAGCCCTGGATCCAATACTGCTGCTCAATGGACAGAGCCTCCTCAGCGGCCAGCAGCGCTACAGACACGCCGTAAACAGTGAGTACACACACACACACACACACACACACACACACACACACACACACACACACACACACACACACACACACACACACACACACACACACACACACACACACACACACACACACACACACACACACACACACACACACACACACACACACACACACACACACACACACACACACACACACACACACACACACACACACACACACACACACCACTGGTCAGGTCTGCAGACTTCAAGTTCTAAAAGCGCTTAAACTGCATGTCAATTATAGGGAAATTAATAAAAAATAGTATTCATTATAACGTATAGAAAACGTTGTCTTTGTCTCGGCCTAACCTTAACTACAAATATTATGACGATAGTAAACATGCATAATAATGAGCACTTTAATTGCACTTATTATTCTAATAATAATATTTAACGTCATACTATTTTAATAATGTTAATACAATAATGAAATTATCAGAATCTCCAAGTTTTTTGTTATTGGCCATTAATACATTAATTTAGTTGTTTTTAAGACTTAAATCATATTTTACTTATTAATTCTGCTTGCATAATACATAGCAGCTTCTTCGCACTGCAGTCAAGTGTATTTCCTTTAGTATTACTTTTACGGATTATTAGTTCAATTGAATATAACCTATTAAATATGCACCATCCGTAGATACGTCAATAAAATCCTATATATAATGTATTGAAGGACTCATGAATATTGTGAGTTAAATATTTAAGGAGATGGTTTTTGCTGCCTTTTCAGAGCTGTAGGACGCTTGGTAATAAGTGGTTTGAGTTATCGCACACGGTCAGAATAATTTATATTTGCAATATATTTAAATGCGTGTGTGTGTGTGCATGTGTGTGTGCACATTAAAATCTAATTGGGTGAAAATAAATCCTCTTTTTTGAAAACGTATTAAATGCGTCATAAATAACACTTTGTGACTTTTTAACTCTTTAGAACAAATAATTAATGAGCCATTACTGTCGCTGGTGTTACTGTTTAACACGTGCAGGGTTTAAATATAATCTACTAACTGAACGTGCACCGGTAACACGGGACGGGGCTGTTGAATAAAACATAGCGAGGGGACGGAGAGGTGTCCACCACGGGCCTTTAACCTCCGCAGGAGTCAGACATATACATATGACAGATCTTACGTGTGTGTGAGTGTGTTTGGGGACTGTGGGGAAGTTCAGGCCTCCAGGCTGCTGCTGCGTAATCCTCACAAACTGAAGCCAAATGCGTAGCAATGAGAACCAGCCCTCCTGCAGACCGTCATGTCAGGAGCAATAACGTAAAGAAAAACATACACAAACATACATTTTAGATTAATTGTGAGTTTTAAAGTAAAAGCATCTGACGGTTTCGCGAAGAAGAAAGACAGAAAATATGCGCATTCGTGCTTCGTCTCGTTTTTCCACTTCAACGAGGAATCCACTCATGCTTTTTTATTTCTGAAAGTAGAGCCTCCTCACACTGACAGCGACTACTCTCAGCCTCTCTGACCTTTAAAGAACACAGCAGGGTGACTCTTATTGTCCCAAACTACCAGAAACACAAACAGCGTTTATGTTTACGAGGTGTTTTTCTAACCAAATGACGCGCGTAGTCTCCGGACTTCTCACCTGCGTAAAATGTAAAAGGAGGATTTGGATTCAGATTTATATTAAAAGCAATGTTTTTGCACATATTAATAAATATAGAATTAATAGAATTAAATAGGTTTGCTAATTAATTGAACCGTATTAACGGCAGCTCTGTGACGCCCCCGTTTTCTCTTTTTTCCGCATCGCGTCAATCAAAATCAATAAAATACGTAAAAAAATCTCAAATCCGGGACTTTTTTTTGGCGTGGAGAAGCTGATTGGTTTCAGCTGCAGTGATGGAGACTCCGCTGCTTTCATTCCGGCCTGCCTGTCAACCCAAAGTTTGCTCACATGCTAAAAAGTTGACAGGAAGCGGAGGGGAAGGAAGGGAGGGGGGGGGGGGGGTTTAATGTGAAGAGTTTGCGTTTTATACAAAAAATGGTGGGAAACTAACATTTTCTCTGGCTTTCGCCGAGATGCAGAAGCTTTATGTGTGTTTTTCTTATTGTGGCACAAAGATGAGCACATTATTTATGGTCTGCAATTTCATGCTTATAACGAAGACCACCACCGCCATTTTAATTTAGTTTAGCTTCACTTTGCAGTTATTTTTTTACTGAAGCTACAATATGTTTTTATTATACAAGTCGTACATTTTTCATTTCTTCTACTCCTTTTATTATTTTTAATTTGATTAATATTAGAGTTACAAAAGTGTAACAGTGTCTCAGATTTGAGATAAAACATTCATTTAATGTTAATTCACAATAGCCTACTTGTAGATACAACACTTTACATTACATTTCATTTAGCCGACATTTCCATCCAAAACAACACACAATAAACCAGGACAAAGCAAACTCAGAACAGCAACAACATCCTGCTTTAGCTCCAAATAAATCAAACCATTTGAATTATTTGGAGACTTTAAATCCTTTCAGTGTCTCCTCCAGTCTCCCTGCCTCTCTGTGTGAGATCAGCTATCTGTTCACACGTAATAAGGGCGTGTCCGTGCTATTTAAAGCGCAGATTAGATGGCGGGAGAAGCTCTAATGATGCTCCTCTCTGTCTCCACCAGCCTCTGTGTGATTATGGATACAAAAAACTGTGTGTGTGTGAAAGAAAACTCCAGCAAGTGCACACTGAGGCTGTGTTACCCACTCTGGTGAGGCTGTGGTGCATGGGTTTGGCATCTGTGTGTGTGTGTGTGTGTGTGTGTGTGTGTGTGTGTGTGTGTGTGTGTGTGTGGTGTGTGTGTGTGTGTGTGTGTGTGTGTGTGTGTGTGTGTGTGTGTGTGTGTGTGTGTGTGTGTGTGTGTGTGAGTGTGTGTGTAAAAGTTTGAGCAGTTATTTAGGCAGCTCTAAGTGTCTGACAGTATAACAGGAACACCTCGTGATGTAATGCAGTTTTAAACGTCCCTAAAGTTGCATCACTGCACTGGACTGCATCTATTATTTTGTCTACCCTTCTACACTGCTTTACATACATGCATATGTGTGTGTGTGTGTGTGTTTTAACTCTCCTTATGTCCCTGCAGTGTGTTTTCTGAGTCAGTGTGTGGTCCCTGGAAGTGTTAAAGCTCAGTCTGTGTAGCATGCTGACTGTGGTTTGTGTGGCTTTAGTGTGTGTGTGTGTGTGTGTGTGTGTGTGTGTGTGTGTGTGTGTGGATGAGTGCATCCTTTAGCTGGAAGGGCGAGGCTGTAAATGCTTGCTGTTAACTCTTCATCCCGTATTATCAAATGAGATGTTTACGAGGGAGCCAAACATGTTCGCCAGAAGGCCAACGTCTCGCCCCCTCACCCCTCTTATTTTCCTGTGTGTGTGTGTGTGTGTGTGTGTGTGTGTGTGTGTGTGTCATAAAGGTCTGTCTTCCCCTCACACCAGCTCTCTCCACATCAGTCTCACATCTGAAGGTCATAAACAGCAGATTCCACAATAATGTAACCTTCAATAACTGCAATCATTTCTCATAAACACACACACATAAAACCTCTCATGATGTTCCCCATTTTGTTTCTGACTCACAAAAACTCATTTTGATCTTTTTGGGAGGGGTGACCCTTACTGTGAAGTTCATGCATTATATATACTTTAAAAAGAGGTCTCAAACGCTGAATAGTAATAATTATAAGCACTCATCAATGTTCATAATGTTTTATAACACTAATCAAAACAAGGGCTGGACAATATGTAAACAATATGATACATGATATATATATATATTCAATTAATTCATTTGTAATCAACATTTATTCCAAAATGTAAAAAAGAAAGTGAAAATATTTCATATTTCAGATCAATTTGACTCAATATGTGCTTTTTATTATCAATAAATCAAATTGAACACGGAGTCACCCCCACTCGCAGCATTATCAAGTATCATAAAGTCAATTCTTTATAATTGCTGGTCAATGATATTTAGTTGGTTTTCTCACGCGTTATAATTCCCATATCGGTCACACATTATTTGAATGCATCACAAGTGTGTTAATAATGCATTGTAAACATGTGCTTGCTAAAAGGTCAGTAAGTGAGCAGCAGATAGGAAGTCATATGCTTTCAAATGAATATTTATGAGTTATATAATGTACATGTGTTACTTATAAAAGTGCATAATCATATTTATAAGTACTTTATTATAATGCATGGTTGATGTGTTGCAAAGAAATCACTATGAAGGATGAGATATTGTGACACTCGACCTTATACTGTGTTATCCTTATTAAGCATTATGAATATTAACTTATAACTATATACATTAAGTGTATAAGGAGATTATAATGCATTATAAGGCCGTCCTAATGCATCATAGTCAAAGGCTTGCAAACAATGTCAGTAAATGCACAACTAATATGATGTTTTATGGAAATGTAACTTACAATTAGCTATTATAAAACGATTTAAAGTGCTTATAACTATAATTATTAACAGACTATAAAGCATTATTAGCATGTTTATAGTGCACATAGAAACTTCTTCAGTTTTTTTGGTGCATCAGTAACACATCTTCATCACGCCCCCCCCTGTGTGTGTGTGTGTGTGTGTGTGTGTGTGTGTGTGTGTGTGTGTGTGTGTGTGTGTGTTATCTGTGCTCAGAGCCGAGCATTAACCAATAGCTTGATAACGCTGCTATAAAAGTGGATCTCAAACGGGAAGAACATATCTGGATATTTTCCAACGTGAGGTGACGCCTCTCAGAGCTAATAATGTGTGTGTGTGTGTGTGTGGTTTGCATGTCGAAGGTACAGCCCTTCATTAGCAGACAGTATCGTAACGGCAGGTTTAGATACAGAGAGGCAGTTAGAGCGAGGCCATGGCTCTGCAGCTCTGAGAGGTCAGTTTCATTTTAAAACACTTTTGTACTTTGTTTTGAGATATCAGAGCAAAGTTAGAGTGAGTGGCTGCTCTC